CAATTTGCTGCACCATTATATGTGCCAAGTGTTATTGTCATTGGAGAACTATTCTGATCACCACGAGCATTATTCAGTAAACTTGCCTCGCCACTAGTAGCTTGAAGATAAGATGATGTATAAAGTTTTGCTCGATTTTCAGCACTCCATGTAAATGCTACATGTACCCATGCATTACTTGGCATTTGTGGTCCAATTATATTTACACTTCTTCCTGATGCAGTTGCATTTGGTAAATAAGCAACAAGAATATTACTATCATTTTGAAATCCAAGTACAAGTAAACATGTATAAGGATTAGCTACAGTAAGAAATACACCAGATTGAGCTTCAGCTCGAACCCATAAAGCTATTGAAAATGCATGATAAGGTGTTCCAAGTACAGTAAATCCATTTGCTTCATAAGAAGCACCGGATTTGTTAAAATTTAGAGCATTATATCGCCAACCATAGATAGGAATAACATTTGAAGCAGTGGTATTTATACCATTTGGTCCTTTATCAAGTAACCATGAAAGATCTACTGGATAATAAGCAGCAACTGTTGCATCCCATAAAACTGCTTGATGAGATTTTGCTTTTAATGAAATTGATAATTGATCAATATATCCTGTGAATCCAGAACCAATTATAATAGTTGAATTGCTATCATTTGAAGAAATTTCTGATTTTATAGAAGATCCTATTGCTTCCATAGCTCCATCAATATAAATAGTTGTTGTTTGTTGAGTTGGATCACATACAAAACTAAAATGATGCCATTGATTGGTGGAAATTACTGAAGTACCTGCTAAAGTAATATTTGGTCCTAATGATGCAACTAATACACCATTGACTAGGTTCAATGAGATATATGGCGTAAGCTGAATAAGAATCGCATTCATTTGAGTATTTCGTAACATGAAAAAACCTTCGATGGTAAAAGCTGAATTTATATTCAAATCAAAATTAGGTTTTATACTAATTAGAGTTGGAATAGATTGAGTTAAAACAACAGCTTGTCCATAAGCAACATACCCTTGTACATAACTAACAGATCCACCAACAACTTCTCCGTTACGATGAGAATAAAGATCTAGCATATTTCCATCGAATGCATAGAATGCATTTGCAACAGAAACTGGATCAGGTGGTGATCCACCATAAAAAGGTGATGCTTCAGTAGCTATAGGTAATAAACAAAGAAAATATTATGTGTGTTTGTAAAAGATTGACGTAATTAGAATATAGTTACTAGTAGAAGTAGGAATCGATGATGTTCCTGTTTGTGTTCTAGTTCGACTACCTAATGTAGCTCCTAATACGATAGCAAGAATTATTACTGCTAATATAGCACCTATGCCAAAACGTATCTTGTTATTCTTATACCAACGCCTATCGCAAAAGAAAAAAATAAATACTAACTATATGAAACTGAGTACTTACCGAGAATCATCATTTTTGTTTTGTGGCTCTGTGTTTTTGAGCTATAAAATATTTGAAAGTTTTTAATTCATAATAAACTAGAAAAGTTTGTATTACTAACGCGGGAACGCATCTGACTAATATTTTCCGTATTAGCTCATAAGTAGGACAGCTTATAGGGATAAAAGTCATAGAAGAATTCGCGCCATCAGGTCTGTTTTTTCGAGCTATGCTCATTTTACTCAACTTCCATTTTGTTGCAGGATATCACGGATAAAATTTCAAGAAGGCGTTTCAGTCTGAAATTTCCCCCAACAATGGCTCTCATGGTCCTTATGATATTCTGGAAGTTTCAGATCACACAGATAACTTTTTCTTAAGATATCATATATTTATAACAACAGGTCTTTCTTTAAAGCTCTTGTGTGATAGCAATGTTTCTTATTAATGTGTTATTTCAGACGAAAACATCCGTTTAGCCCAAAACTTTCATAGTATCATAAGGAATGTCAAAACTATGATTAGAGAGAACCTCTAGTTCCAATTCTTGGTTATTCTTTTTTCGTATTATCCTGTAATAGGCTGCAAATTTAGGAATATGAAAATAACTCGAGCACAAAAACCTAATATGATGAACCGTGTCAAATTTAACATCTATCCTATGAGTGCTACCTATGAAAAAGATAAGAGTTTAAACGAAGATTGTTAGACTGATGGATTCTCTCGTAAGGTCAAGCCATAAAACATAAAAATCAATTATAGGCAAAAATGGAATCAGAAATCTCACTATTTCTACTGTTCTAAAGCCTATGTTGAAACTTTATTGTAACGCTCCCGGTTGATTACATTTCATACATGATGTTCAACTGTCCCCTATCATTGAGTCGTATATTACAAGTATTGATCTCATCTTTCTACTCTTACTCTGCACCTCTTACTCTATTGTTCATCCGTATCTATCCTCTCCTTGGCCTCTTCTCCTTTTCTTTTATCCTCTCTTATTCTACTTGCGTATATAAGCGTGTGCTTGATATGTAACCGATGCGATTATATGATATGAAGAAATAGAGTAAAGTGTAACTCCATCTACACTCTAATCCCTTCTATCACTAATCGTCACATTTATTTTTACATCAATTCAATTGTTGATCGAATATAAAAACTATTCTAGTATGGAGTGCAAAAAAACTGGCCCCTCAAGATTGAAATGTAACTAAATGTTAGTTTATAATTATAAAAGAACAGAATTAGATAATAACAGTAACAATAATGAACACACAATATATACAAATATATACAAGAATAGTTTTGCACAATCTTACAATTTAAAATTTAAATCAAAGAATAATTGTTATTTTCCATCTATGTGGACCTGTTTCTTTATCATATATATTTGAATATTTAATTTTAACTGTCAAAGTATTTGTGATGAAAGTTATATACAATAGTAAAGTGGATAACATAGACTGTATATACATGATGTAATGTAATGGTTATCTTGTGCATGAATTATTATAATTTGTGAAAATCTTGTCATCGTTTACAATCTTTTCAAAATTTTTTAAAATCAGGAATTGTCAAAAAATGACTTGATTTCAAACTTTCTTTATTTTAGTTCGGAAAGAATGAAATACTTTTCCAGTTTTATTGTATTAAGTTGCAAATTAATTACACTACATACTACATATATTATTATGTTAACTTATTTTAAAACTGTAACAATATTAGTAAAAAATGTTAGGGGTCAGTTTTTTTTGCACTCCGTACAATTAATAAAGTGTTGTAGTCTGAGTAATTCAGAAATTATTCGATGCATAGATTTGATCTATTTAGAAAGGTAAAACTTACCAAAGATTGCGCAACTTCTGACAATGGAAAAAGTTCAGCACCTTTTCAAAAATATATACATATGAAAACTTATTACATAATACTAAATATAAACTTTACAATACCTTCAAAAGGTGGTTCAAGAAGTACATATGGTGGTATTTGTTGTTGTAAATGAATAATATGTAAATCAGGTGCTGGATTCAATTGAGATTTAACTTCAAGAAATGTTCCTGGTAATAATAAAATTTCATCTTCAGTAGTAAAATGAGAATGAGAACGAATTGTTCGACCATTGATTGTTTCAATTGAAAAGAGAGTTCTTGTTCCAACATTTCCCAAATATAAATCAGATTCAAGAACTCTTAATGATGTTGTACATGATGAAAATGCCCACCATGTTATTTTTTCACCTGGTGGATAATCTTTACTAAGATCTAGACGTAAACCACGCCAAACTGTTTGACGAGGAGCTGCTGGCATTTTAGCTAATGCTGTAAGAAATAATTTTAAGTATCGAAACCATGGACGAAGTTTTTTTCGATCTACTTGTTTGAGAGTTCGATTAAGATATACATAGAGACTGTCGCTTAGTTCGCTAGAATCAGAATCCCATTCCATTGTATATAGACGAATAGCAGCTGATTCATCTTGTGTAAGACCATCAGAGGGATTTTTTGAATTTTGTTTAGCAATCCAAATATGAACTGGTAAATTTGGAACAATATTAAGAAGTGGTTCACATGCTTCTTCTAATGGTAAAAGTGATTCATGAGCATAACCTGATATAGGTTCTAATAATTGTTTTGGTTCTTCACTGATATCGGATAAATAAGGCGGATTAGTATATTCCAATAAACTGGTACCCATAGACTGATGATCACAATATTTTTTTTATTTTATTCGCTTTGGTTTCTCGAGAATAAAACAGACACACGTCGTATTCGTGCCAAATAAATAAATAAAAATGAACCGTGACTAACTTATCATGCATAAGCTATCTTCATGAGATGCAATGAAATGAAGCGTACAACATTAAAAAAATGATGTCATTAGAAGATATAGCACCTATGAAGGTCACTATATTGGTTTGCAAAAAAAATAATTAACGATGCATGTAACTGTCAAGCAATCAAAGTACTATTCACATTTGAAAACATTTTCATATGATAAAAACAGTACAACGATGAATAATGATTGAAATGAATGTATAACATTTGAAAGATAGAGTGAATAAGTAGTTTGTTATTAATACAGTGATGCGACTATTCATATTAAACTAATTTTATTCTATTCCTCTGATAAGAAATCAATAGAATATTATCACTTTTCTTCTAATACTAAATTTCAGATTTAATCATTATTAACAAACTGGTTACTAGGAGAATAGTCATACTCACATATTTCAGAAGATATTATCTCTTTCGAAATGTCAAACTAAAATAATTACTTAGGAAATTCTCTTTATATTATTCATTTTATATTATGAATTTGTATTGTTCATTTAGTTACAAAAAAAAATCACAATATGTATAAATAATCGAAGAAACAAAAAATTATTCATTCACTCTTAACGAAAACGATCGAAAGGAATTATGGTTTGATAATTTGTTTCAAGTCACTATCTTGTAATTCACGTGCAAATACAAACATTTCATCTAGTGAACCCATAAATGTTTGTGATATAGGAATTCCTTCAATACCTTCACAATTTGCTGCACCATTATATGTGCCAAGTGTTATTGTCATTGGAGA